AAGAAACATTGAACAGTGCTGCCACATGACACAGGAAAAAAGAAAAGACTCTGAACCCTTTCTTTGCCATTATATAAAAATAGTGTTGCTACAAACGTATAAATGAGGCTTACTAATAAGACAACTCAGATCTGAAGCTACAGGAATCTGCAGCCAACGTGCAATAAAAAAGACAAAATTAATAGAATCAAACTCTTTTTTTTTGTTGCATTTTAGTAGATTATACAAATAAATGCCTTTAAAATAGGATGCAAGCAACACTAGTTTCTTAACCTGAATTGATAGACTATAATCAATTTAAACAGAACAGATCTTAATGTTTGCATTCTTATACCATTTTGTACAATAATTATAATGAATAAGTTCAAACAAACTAAAACTTACAGCTGATTAATAACGGTATCTAACTTGAGTTTTTATTATCTCAAAAACCTGTTGAAATGCTACTGTTATTTTTACTGTCCCCCAAAAAGCGCGTTGGCAGCCTCCAGGAATGCTTCTTTCACAACTTCGCCGTCTTTGAAAGACTTCATGTGTTTCTCAAGAACGTGACTGACGCGATAAGATGCTATGGTAGCAGCCTTGCTCTTGTTGTTGGGCCTGGTGAAAATGGACTGCTGTGCATTTAGCTGTGCATTTAGCTGTGCTTTCAGGCCCCTCCCCTTTTGGGAGCGTAGGGCAGAATTAGGAGGGAATTCCGTCTCGTAGCGTTTGTGCACTGTTTTGAAATGCCGCTCCTAAATTACCCTTCTTCGATAAAGCCACGCTCGCATTGCAGATGAGACAGATGGACTTTGAATTGGAATAGATACAAAAATAATCATCCTCCCACTCGGAGTGAAAATGATATATTTGGGGCTTTTTTGCTTCTGCCATTGCGGTCTTGTGTGTGTGCGACTGTCACTCCTGTTGACACGGACAACGTCAGCGAACTAGTGCCCACCCTGGTGCCCACAAGCCACGCCACGACACATGGGGTCACGCCGGCCAATCACAAAGCTTTGATGCGTTCAAGTGCATTATTCTGGCACAGGAAGATTATGTTATAGGATATTAACGATAAAACTGAATATTGTTGTTCTATTTTTAGACACATCTCGCGATCGACTGGGAATCTCCCCGCGATCGACCGGTCGATCGCGATCGACTGGTTGGGCACCCCTGCGTATAGCTACTGGGCACCTCTGGCCTAGTGCATGACTTTTGGGGAATACAACTGTTTTGTTTTGATCCTATCCCTCTCCTTCTGTCGTTTTTAAACCGAGTGTGAGCTCGAAACGCTCACAGCCTCCTTTTGTTGTTTTATGTATTTTAGTAGTTGTATCTTAATGGTCACTTTCTATCTCTTTGTTGTTGTTTTATGTTTTTTTATAGTTGTTTTATGTCTCCCTGTAGTCACTTTGTGTGTAGTTGTTTTCTGTCCCTCGATAGTCATTACCAGAGGCCTGTACTACGAAGCTGGTTCAACCTAACCTGGATATGTTTGAGTTATCCGGTTGACTTAATCCAAAACATATGCGCTATCTCGCTAAGCGGTCCTACGATGCGGGTTATCAAGTGGATCGCTCAAGCCAGCCGTGTCCTATCTAGTTAGGTGCGCGTTCACATGAAAGGGGTGGTATTTGGAGCATTCGACCAATCACAAACATGGACAAGCATACTGACAGCGCAGCGTCATACTTCCGAATGAAAAGTTAACTTTAATATTAGTCAAATATGAAGAAGTTAAACTTTAAACATCCATGACTTAAACACTTAATCCAGGATCAAAGCCACATAGCTACACCTGCAAGTTGAATACAGCTCGCAAAAGAAAAAGTGTTTGAATTCGTACATTAACAGGTTTATGATATCACTGCTGCCCCGTGTGCATTCACATTATATATACAGTCTATGATTCACACAATAGTCCGTTTTCTGGTGCACACCAGACCACAGTTTGTTACATTGTTTCATTTTTCAGAAGGTTCGGTTTGCGTTCACACCTTCACAATGGCAAAACTCAAACGGACTATAAACTTTAAACACAAGTCATGTGCACGGAAATGCAATTCAACCATTGGTCAGACAAAAACGCAAATCCCGGCAATTTCTACCGGAACCTCCGCCATGGAGCATCGGCACTTTCGGCAGGTTATTCTCATGCTGCTGTTAACCTGGAGATCAACAGACACCTGGCTTGTTTGGGACACGTTTCGGCTCGCCTCGAAAGTAGACGAGAATAGCCGATCGCAGCCGGGGGAGGTCTCAAAAAACTCGCCTGAAGTCGGACAGCTCGGAGTCGGCTTCGTCTTCGTCTTCTTCTTCTTCTTCTCTCGGTTTTTTGGCGGATTGCAAACAACTTTAAGGTGCATACCGCCACCTCCGGAGTCGGCTTGACTCGGTTTGCATTTATAAAGAATGCACACATGTGTTTAATCGTTAATGTCAGATATGTACTAAGTAAATACATTTGTTCCTGCTCAAGATTAGATTCAACTTTATTGTTATTGCACATATTACAGGTACTGAGACAACGAAATGCAGTTTAGCTTCTAACCAGGTGCAACAAGCAGTAAAGTGAAAAGTAATGTACACAATAAACAGAATAAAATATAGAATGAATTGAATGATGAATAAACAGTGAGGGGTATGAATACACTAGATATACACAGCAGCCTGAGAGCAGTATGAACAGTGTGTATGAATGTGCTAAGATATATAAAGTATGAAAACGGTAAGTAGTGCAAGTATAGTATAAAATATATGGATATTAATTTAATGATGATAAATATTGTGGAACAATGATGAAAAATGTGAATGGAAGTGGCGACGTAAAACGGACACAAAACAACAACAAACCTTTGCCGAGCCAATTGGAGAGTTTCATCAGCAGCACGGGGTAAAAACCACCAATGAGCGCTCAGCTCGAGATACCAGCGAGTCGTTTCCCATCAAGCATTTTGCTTCCGCAGCCCGTGGAGAGGAACTGCGCCGCCTCGCCGCGCCTCGCTCTCAAGGCTGCGGGCGTCTTTGTCCCGCGAGATTTCAACGTCTCATGTAGGCGAGCCTCCAGAGCAAGTCGGACAAAATGACTAACCATCATGCAACGCACGAGCAAGACGTTGATCGAAATTGCGCAGGTCTGCGCAAGTCTCGCTTGTCTCAAACAAGCCTATTAGCGGCCCGCACATATGATTATATAATCAGACAACGTCCATTAAAAAACATTATAACACATATAATGAGAGACGTTCTGCAGTAAGGAGGGTCATTTCACCGACGACAGGTGTTCTTACTTTTATGTAGCTGACGGAGAATTTTTACTTTACACGACACTGTTCAACACTTCATTCTGCTTCACTCTTTAACTAAACAATCGCGGAGGTATTGAAAGACTCTTTCGCTAAAGATTTTGAAGACATCCGCGTTCTTGTGACACGTAAATACTACGCTTCCTATGTTTTGGTGCGGACTGCGTTCACACCAGCAATGAACCGCTCCAGAGTGCGCAAGCAAGCGTTCCGAGACCACCTATTTTAGCAGACCAGAGTCCGGTTGTTTAGTTCACTTAAGAGGTCTCGGACTGTGTTCACACCGACCCAAATGAACCGCACCAAGCGGCTAAACGCACCAGGGTTCGATTCAACCAGACTATACAAGGCAGGTGTGAACGACACTAGTGGATCTGACTTTAATTACATTTGTCTCGAGTGTTTCGTCAACTTAATGTGTTGCTTAAAATAATACTTCTGCATACAGTAGGCTATGTGACACTGTAAGTGTTGCACGGCCCGATACGGCTCAGCTGACTCAGATAAGGAAATATATGATACATTATGATGTGATATGAATGATAATGGGACACATCCACATCTGCACTCAGAGTGCCGCGGACTGTAGGCTACGTAATGTTACTTTGATCCGGTTACTTATGTTATCAGCTGTTCCACCATGGTTTCTACCTCAACCTGTAATAGATGTATCCTTATTGAAACGGTTACATTCAATGAAAAATAAAATCAATGTGCAGGCTTAGGTGAACACTGTTCTTCATGAACAATATGGGCAGTTTATACATTAAATAAATCAACAGTATAGTGGCGATATGCTCCAAGTGGAAGCGATTCGCCATTAAAGCAAAGAAGAAGAAGAACTCCTCACAGTTGATCTCTTATCCTGAACCTATCCTGCTCCGGCGCAGGCTAGCCGTTCAGAATAAGTTATCTAGCTCGCTAAAAAGTGAACCAGCTTCGTCGGACCGGAAATCCCTGAAGCTTAGCTTGCTAAACGAAAATCTTGATTCGTAGTATAGGCCCCAGGCCTAGGGTCTCTTTCTACCTGCTTATGTCTAGTTGTGTTTTGTGCCTATCTGTAGTCATTTTATGTCTCTTTGTAGTTGTTTTGTTGATCTTATTGGTCACCTTTGTCTATTTGTAGTGGTTTTCTGTTCCCTTATAGTCATTTTGTGTCTCTTTCTACCTGTTTTATGTTGTTTTTCCACGTCCATCCATTTATTTTGTGTATCTTTGTAGTTGTTTTTCTGTCCCTGTTTAAGTCATTTTGTGTCTGTTTCCACCTGTTTTATGTCTAGTTGTGTATTTCTAAGCTGTTTGTGGTCATTTTATGTATTTTTGTAGTTGTTTATATTCATGATGTGCTTCTTTAATTATTTGTTTCCTTTGTTTAGTCATTCTGTGTCTTTTGTAGTCATTATGATTCTATTTGTGTTTCCTGTGAGGCTTCCCCAGGTGAATATAAATAATTGATCAATTCATGCTACAATTGGCACCTCACTATTCACTTCACATAACTTCAACTGTATTATTCATTATTAAATAAGCATAGCACAGATCATCTGTAACACTGTCACATATCTGTTTGGGATGCTGAAGTGGAAACAAGAGACGCAATTGTGAAAGACCTCTGGGATGGAAATACTCAGAACATTTATCCACAGCAATATTTTCTGACATGAAGGAAAAAGTACTTTGCAGGAACAGTAGGGTAGTTCTCGGTACCTTTGTGTCTTTGCCAAACACCTTGGAGTGAAAGCAGATCCAATGGTCAGAGACAAACATCCGTCCCTGGTAGAGGATGTCTTTCTGCAGAGCACATGTGTAACCTGAAAAACAGGTAAACAGCATCAGCATACTGAGGGGAACACTACGTTTTTAGTTCCTGTCATTTCTGTAAAAACAATAAGGAAAAAGAAGTCGATGCATTAACCGTTACTTGATTACAATAGATACTGATCTGGATGTTAGTTCTGTATCTGTTATGAGCATTTAAGAGTTTTTACATTTTTTAAAACAATATTGTACATTCAAATAGTTTTTGTTAACTATATTATTCCTTTTGTCTGTACTGGCCTGCCAAGAGATCACCTTTCAAAAAAATACCAGTAATCACTCAGTGACAGAATACACAATCAAGTTCAGTTGAAGCTGAAACAGGAAAGCGCATACTGTATGGCATACAAATCTCTTTTTGTGCTTCATCAGCGTTTCCTTGCAAAGGGACAGTAACACAACGTGTGTACTTTAGTACCAAAACGACATTCCCTTTAGGAAGATATCCCCGTCATTTGTTGCAGCATTATATTAACTTCAGCCTGATGTATTATTGAATTTCAAAGGACGGGCACTGGAGATTGTGTCCTACACTAAAATAACTTGTATCTCTTTGTGGCCAGTATTGATAGGATGAACAATTACAAATGCCAACATGTTATTCAGTGTACATATACCTTGCTCAATGTTGTTAAAGAAGGACTTTAAAATGCAAACCGATGCTTCGAAAGGACAGTGAGAAGGACGTGGCGGAATTTGGTATTGCAGGTTGCAGTACAAAATGCTGTGGTATCTTTCCTTCACCACGCTGAGGCCATCCTAGCATTACACTACTTTAGAAGCCAATAAATTCATGCTCATGTTGATGATACCAGAGTTTTATAAGCATGTCAGAAAAATCCAATGGGGAATTCCCATTGCTTTTTGTCTAGGGAGCCCGTGCGATGCTAACTTCCAGGGTGGACTATATACATCATCACTGCACTTCTCTATTTTAGGCTAATGAAAAGAAAATTCTTAGTTTCAACTAATTATAGTATAATGAAAACATAGTCATGAATGAAAACATAGTTATGAATATTTTTTATTTTTTAATAGAAACCACTAAATACTACTCATCACCTAATTAATAAAAAGCTAAGAGGTATCAGACTATCTAATCTCTCATCCAGTATTTAAGGTGGAGCGGAAAGTTGTGATCATTAATGACTTACTCTGTCTGAGCAGTTCCTCTTTGCTGATCTCCTTAAATATTTTATGGTACTGGCAATTGCTTTTCGAAATCTGAAACACAACACACACACGCACACACACATTATGCATAATGCAGAGTGAAGCTTGAACATTGGAAAGCTGCACAATGTGAATATTGATTATATTTCAAAAGCTGCAATAAAGTAGATTTAGTTTGATATTTTGATTGATAATTGAAAAACACATTGAGAATCATTTCAAGAATAAACACAATATATGATTTAAAGTGATATTAATATCACTTTAAATAAGGTAAGGTTGACAAAGATTCTGGTATATTACAATAATGAATCCCACAGTAAGCAAAACAGCTAATCAGAAATGGTAGCTGACGTCCCCCGGCTGGATGAGATTGTTGCCGTGCTGTAATGTTCACAGCTGTTTTAAAACACGGAGCGCTCACCTGGCTGTAGTGAGACTTCTTCCTCTCGATCTTCGGGTCTGCTTCTGTCTGGACCTGAGTCAGCAGAGAGTGGTCGAAGGTCTTTGATCTGACAGATCAGCACAGAAGGAGGATTTACATTGCATAATATTATATTACATTATATTGCACCTTACATGACTGGTCTGAGGCCCTTTGTACTCTAATGTACTTATGACAGTATTTATAACAGGTCACCAAGGGAAATTACATACAAATAACATATCAAATATCTTTATTCCATAACGCTCATTACATTTTCCAAGCTGCACGACCTCTCCAACACATTATATATTATATTTTATTATATTTTTTTAGATAGATTTCTTAACCGTTTTCTACCCTCAGCACTATTTTATGTCCATATCTTAAATTCAAAATGTATATTATGTTGAAAAAATACATATTTGTAAGAGCATTTTAGAGGGGAAACGAGAACAAACTATTTCACTTCTAACGGCTCCTTTGTTGGATTTGTTGGGCAAATAAAAAGAAAGAAAGAATAAATGCCGGTGTGAAGTTCTGTAAACTGGAAATATTGAGCAGCTACGTGCAATTTTATTTTTGACTTACAGTAACAGCTCCAGACTCAGGTTAGTTTTCCACTAAATGTGCTTCACCTGACTAATGCGTGTTTCCTCCTGCCTGACAGCTCTTGTTGCTCCGGGTCCACGGCCTGCATCTTCTCAAATCTCTGCCGCTCCTCCATGTTTTCTACATCTGAACTACACACAGCAAGAAAGCAACATTCGGACATCACGACAAAATGACCAGAGACACTTCATATAGCAGCATCAGGCAGGTGCTACATTGAAGATTAGAGAGGAATGAATACTGTACTCAGCAACAATGGTTTAATATGAATTCCCTTTAACTTCACTTAATCAGAGTACTTTATTTATGCCAGGGGAAATGGGTTTCAGGATTGTTGCCCTTAATTAAGAATCATCTAAATAAAACAGAAACAAATATTTTAAAGTGAGAAAATTAAACAAAGATATTTATATTAACATGAGAAGTTGAAATCAAATGTATACAATGTATAATATATATAATAATCACGAGAAGTTAAAGTAAGAATGTGCAATACAAAATAAATTAATAATAATTTATATAACATAAAAAGCGTATGTAAAATACCTATATAAAATATGAAGTTAAAGGAAGAATGTGCAAATTGTTTATGTAGGAGCCATTTTATGGGTGTTGTTGGCATCTCAGTTTACTTTATTTATATTTATAGTGCAATACTATTTTGAACACTTGGTGGCAGGGTTTAGCTGCACAGGGTGTATAAAAGGGGTCACAGGTGACAGGAAAGGACGAGGACACAGGAGGAAGAGCACACCGATTCCACCAGCCCACCAGATGCTCATACCACAACTATTGACTGTAAATTAAACCTTGGTATGTAAACACTAAATAAAACATCATTCTAAATTGCAGCAAAAGACCGGAAATGAATCTGTTTGTGTCTGCGTCTGGATCACTCAACCCTCCTGTGAAGTAATGGCAATAAAAGAATAGGACATTGGAACAGTTCAAATTGCCATTACAGTTTAAAAGGGTATTGCTGCTGAGAGCAAAGTTGTAGTGCCAGTTTATTGACATATTAGACACACTCTAATTCTAAAGGACTGAATGTAAACTGAACAGCCAAGTTTGACATTAAGGTATTTCAGTTTTGTTTCTGATATCTAAATTCAAAACACTTTTATAGAATTATCTGTGTGAGAGATCAACTGCACCTCACACTGCATATAAATAACTTCACACACACACATGAGCAACTGTTAAGTATTATAGATATAAAGGGCTTTATTAGGGTCTGAGTGACACTGATGTTTTGAGCCTGATGCTAAAGCAGATATTATAAGGACAACCCACAATAATTCACATTTCTGTAAATGTGCCAGTTTGCTCATTTTCAGCAACAAAAGCAGAAATAAAACAGTCTCAAGCTAGGGCAAAGGAAACAGCCAAACATTAGTACCACCATAATAGAGCCACAATATCCAATAATCAGTTTATGAAGTGCAAGAACCATGAAGCAACAATAGAGAGACAAGCAAAACTGACAAAAACCATTGCAAAGTGGCCGGCCCTTGCAAACGCGCTACAACGGCCCCAAAAAAATGACATTCGGAGAAACTTGCTGCACTTTCAAAAGCATTGCAAATTGTAAACATTCACTAACTTCACAAAACATGCACAGCGTTTACTAGAAGCACTGTATAAACGAAACACTGCTAAAAGGGATGCACACTGCTGGGGCCGGAGAGCTTATTGACTTTGGGGAATATAAGGTTGGCAGCTGAAACCTAAAATACAGGTTTTATTGGATTATTTTTATATTTTGATTCCTTCTGATATTATTGCAGATCGGCTGTAAGCTAGCTAGCTAATGAAGCTAACCTAGTCATTTCACTGACAAAACACTGACAATTATGCAACAGGCTAACTCTGCCAACCAGTGGCGTAACAAGGTTGTGATTGGCCCCGGTGCAAATATTGTTTTGGAGCCCCCCCCTCATCGCACCAAACATAAGTGCACGCTGATGCGCTCACACACACGGACACACACAACCACTCAGAAGCGCCACATGTAGGCTATCAACAACAGCCTCACACAATCAATTTACAGAATTAATCGAGATTTCGAGGACGATGTATGACAAAAAAACGGTCTAATCATCAACTCTGGTCCCAGCTGTGTGCATCACTTTTCGGTTGTGTTGTGTTATTTATTTACAGCATTTAGTTGATGCAGTATTTTTAGTAAATCTGTAAATTTGGTAAAGATGTTTTTTCATTTGCATGTGTTTTGGCACATTTGTGTTTTTATATTTATATCCTTTTTGAAAGAGCAGCGTGTTTCTCCTAAGGACAATTTATTGAGCCTTTGTTGCGCGTTTTAACATTTCCACCACCGTAGAGAACAGCAATAAGCACGAAGAAAGAAAAAAACATGACTATCATAATATTGAACTCCATAAATAGTAAACTCATGCACCTGAACCCATAAACCATGCCTTTCAGAGATGTAAGACTATAAGATGATTTAAAAGAATGCTGACAATAATTCATTAAATGTTTTATTCATTAATTCGAAAGAACGTGTTGATTGTAATAGTTAACTAAATCAACCTCGAATGAACAAACTATTTAATGGAGAGTCTGTATCTTAATGACCTAAAACATATCTTGACTTTGACGTGACTTGTTTCTGTTACTTATCAGGCTGCAAACAGTGATAAAGATGCATATTATCTTTCATGAGGTAATGAAGTGGCCTGTATAGTGGATATTCTATCGCGCTGTGCAGTTGCAACTAACTGTTTTCATTATTGAAAAAAATAACTAAGTTGGTTCGACTCCGGCCGCGGAACTATGAGGCAATGTCCTCCCCCCTTTCAACACTATCAGTCAATGAAGGCACTCTCTGGCACAAACAAATACAAATAAAGCCCATAATTCACTAATAGCCCATTAACAGTGATATATCATTATATAAAAGTAACAGATTTAGTAATCTACAACCAACAAATATATGATTTTGTTTTCTGTTTAGCAACCATTAGCTGACTTTAGTTTCTGATAGAGGTATACTGCTAACTAGCCCTAATGCCAGCATGCAAACACTACTACTCATATTACAATTGTTTATTCCTACAAGGAACTTACACAAGTCACAAACTTACTGATAATCTTGGTCCTCGGTCTTTGCATTTCTTCTGTTATACTTCCTGGCGTCTTCCTGCAGCTTCACACACTGTTCTGATATCATGCCCAACAGTTTTTTAGCCAACCAAACACCTGTCGTGCAGGACGTCCTGTCTGTCTGTCTGTCTGTGAACTGACCCTGCAGCCTGATCCTCTGCTCCCTCACCTGCATGTGGGAGTGTCTGCTGAGCCCCCTGGTCTCATATGTCACAGCCAATCAGAGGGTGTGTGTGTGTGTGTGTGTGTGTGTGTGTGTGTGTGTGTGTGTGTGTGTGTGTGTGTGTGTGTGTGTGTGTGTGTGTGTGTGTGTGTTCAAACCTTTGATCAATGACATTTTACCCAGCTTTTTGGGAGAATGAAGGTTTATTAAGGTATTTTGTCTACATTGTAAAGACTTTACTTACATTTCATTATTTTATTTTATATTCAGCTAAAATCTTGGCAGATGCAGAAGTTGAGATATTTGGTGTCACCGTGGGAACACAGTGAATACCCATGCGTCTCTCTCTGTTTTAGATTACACAGGAACAAACTTTCTTCCCTTTTTTACTATTTTTTACATTTCATGGCTGCACAAATAGGAAGAAATGTGGATGTAACCTTTTATAATTGACTAAATGCTGAGTTTATAGAGAAATGCAGGACAGCAGTGACAAGTAGATAAAACACCTGTTGCATCACCTTACAATGACTTCTGTGTTATGAATAATGTTTTCTTTACATGGAGTGTGTAAAGAGAATAGGCTCGTGTAACAGGGAGAGAGTCACCAGACTCTTGCTAACTTCAGATATTTTTGGAGATATACTGCCTAGGACTTATTCTTGTTTGTTGGTCATTTCTGGTAAATTCAAACTAAATCAAGTGTCAGTGGTCTAAAGAGACACAATATTTATTTTTTCATTTTTTATTTTGTACAAAGAGCTGGTTTACAAGACGGGGCTTCACAACTGTTGAGGTCTATTTAACTTTGGTCAAATTAACAAACATCTGTTGAACAGCAGTGACCCTTGGTAGGTTTTGACCAGTTGGTAATCCAATTTTGGGACACATTTCCTTTCTTGCTATGCACAACAACATTTTGTTAATCATTTATTAATATTTATCCAGGCATGATTCCTTAACTCATGACCATTTCTAATGCTTTCAGCAAAACGTCTTAAAGGACCAAATAAATAGCTACACGTCATCAATTATCTCCTGTGTTTGAGCCATGTATGATCTCCTTATTCACTCAGGAGCTACACATATACTTAAAAACATCAACATAATGTGTGCGTGTGTGTGTGTGTGTGTGTGTGTGTGTGTGTGTGTGAGTGTGTGTATGTGTGCATACTAGGGCTGTCAAACGATTACAAATTGTAATCAGATTAATCACAGCTTAAAAAATAATTAATCATGATTAATTACCATTCGAACTATGTCCAAAATATTCAATTTCTTTATGTATATTGTTGTGGGAATGGAAAAATAAATGAAAGAAGGCGGATATATCCATTTAACATACAGTAGCCTATGTATGTATGTTTATTATAACATTTTTCTGTGTGTCAAAATGAAAGACAGCCCACACACCTATCAATCATCAAACCGTGGGGTCTTAATTCATTACGTGTTGATTTCTATCAACAGGGGGGGGGGCTAGTGGAGTACTTCGTGACCACAGAGTGTGAACGTTGTGATCAGCTGTTTTAGCCACCACGCCGTTATCTTGATTCTGATTGGCTAGAAGACATTATCAAAGATGTTCTATTGAGAAGACGATCACTACGTGACAAAAGTTTTCAAAACCGTTTCTGGTCCTCGGTATTTCCAGACAAGTAGCTACTGAAATCAATCTTACTAACTGCTGTCTGTGCAATTTACTCTGCGCGAATTGGCGGACTTTATTTTGCTTACTTTAACATCATTTTTCATGGTGGGGCTAAGCCATTTCTTGGTATGGGTGTAGCCTACCCCAGCCATACCCTGGCGCTGCCACTGGTGGGATATATGGGGCAGGCCATTCTGCACATGCGTTAAATGCGTTAAATATTTTTAACGCAATTAATTCAAAAAATTAATTACCGCCGTTAACGCGATAATTTTGACAGCATTAGTGCATACTGACATCAACTGAGGGTGACTGAGCCACAACGACAGTACACAAACATGTTTAACATTAAGTTTATCTATCAGTGTTTGCATCTCTCCCTGTCATTTTAAGATATACAGATAAACTAATTACAATAGTAAAAACATTATTACGCACTCATGATCTTATGCATGGATGAAAAATACACAACTAAAATGGTACACTCCCCATTGACATCAGGACAGCAGATAGCTTGCACATCTTCCGGCGCAAACTGAAAACTCATCTCTTTCGACTCCACTTCGAGCGTTAGAACTATTAACGAAGCACTTTTATACTAATAAAGGACTGGCTTACCTAAAGCCAGTTGAGTAGCACTTGAAATGTTTGGCTCTATGAAACCTGATGTACTTATATGATTCTGTTTTCTTCAAGGTTGTGTCTTCCTGGTCGAATGTACTTATTGTAAGTCGCTTTGGATAAAAGCGTCAGCTAAATGCAATGTAATGTAATGTAATGATGCACACAGCTGGGACCGGAGTTCTTGTTGACGTTCGGGGGTTATAGAGCTAGGCAACTATCACTCCTAAAGTGTTCGTTTTATCGTCTTATTTTAACAATGCGATCGCATGATTCCTTCTTGTTGTGGAATATTTTCCAAGGCCCATAACTTTGACCCAGTTTATCAGTTCAAACTGTCCTGACTGAGCACACGCACTTCGTAACCTTGGCTGCTGTGCTCTCAGTGTTCTGTCTCCCTGTTCCTGCCTGTTGACGTCAGCTGATAGAGGTGTTATGATTCTATGTTCCTGCCTGTTGACGTCAGCTGATAGAGGTGTTATGATTTTATCTTGTTATGCAGCATGTTGATGATGCTCTCAGAACTAGCTAAATACATGGGTCTGAGGTAGAGTTCTTTAGAATTGACGTGGCAACCCACCCGTGCAGTCAGACCGTGACTGCTGTGACTTGTGATGTGAATTCTCCGGCCGTAACTCCAAACAAATCATCAGTGTTTGACATCAAAGCTCCTGCTCTACCGTGTCTCCTTCCTGAGTCGGTGACTCCCACTGCATAGCTACACAGAAGTTTCCCTTACAATTTGGCGTTGTCGGCAGGATACCAACAAATCTTCAGAGCTGGTAAGTGTGATTTTCAAATCTACATTTGGACATTGCCTTACCAGAATCTGTGGTTGACGGTATCCTAAAAAAATTACCTGTGAAAACTGAGCGGCTGTGTTTCGTTTTTGGTTAATGAACATTTGGGGATAATAAACCCAGGGGATCAGTGTCTGGGGACTCAGTCCTGGCTGATTTCCTCTGTGTGTGCTGCTCGGGACGGAAGTGCCATACAAGCATACACAGCTCATGTTTAGAGAGACCTTAAAAAAAGGCATCAGTGAAGTGGAGCTTCTGTGTGAAAGCAATGTCAAAGATTTGTATTGGCCAAACACAGCAGTTAAAAATAAGCAGCCGGAGATATTACTCCTATCGCCTCTCTGTAAGCACGGCTCCAGAGCTCTAGCCGCGGGTGTGTGTGTAAAACCTCCCCGTGTTTGTGGGGCTGGAGAAGTGCAGCTGAGAGGGAGAAAGTCACAACTTTTTGTCTATAGCTTTAACTCACACCACCGCCATCTCTATTAAAAACGAGATGGTCTAAAAGCACTCGTTGTTTGTGACCGTCTTCTACATTGCTGGCAAGGCCGGGGCAGCGCGAGATGCGTGCATCACCCGATGCGCCACAGTTCCCTATACATGGCTAGAGGAGCTGATGGCGGTCCGGGGTGCATACATGAAATTATAGGCTAATTGATCACGGGTGGGCAGTGGCAAGCAAAGTGTAGAACAAAACTGTGTTTCATCGTTGCAATGAACTCGATAGCAAGTGTATAGGCTGGTCGAGTAGGACAACAGTTAACTGGGCTGTTTTTGGAGAGAAAGGGTAGCGGAACAAAAAAGTCTATGTTCTCCTGGTCGGGGGTTCATAGCGCCACTGATGGAGTAGTGGTTGTCGCAAGAGGATAAGCTAGTTATCGCTTTTGGACGGTCTTCAGGCACGGTCTTAGCACTTGTACAAGGGTGGACGCGCGAGTCAAGGCGCCCCACTAGAGATAATTCCCTACCCCCTCTGAAACCTCATAATTCGGACTAAATTGAGCTGGATGAGCTCTGCTGTCACGCTGGTGTTTATTACGAGTTCATGTTTGTTTGTTTGTCTGATTGTTTGTATGGGGGGGTCTATAATGGTTTGTCCCGCCGTCTTGTGTATGTTTTGTAACAACTAATAATGAATCAGTCCATAGACAGGGTAAAATGAACTAAACTTTAGTTATCCCACCAAAAGCAAATGACTTGAGAAAAAAAAAAAAATAATATAAAGATGTAAAGCAAAATTCTGGTTGTATAAATGTGCTGCAAAATGAAAATAAATAGCAAAAGAGTGTCTTTATGTCCTGCATCTGAGTGTGCAGGGGAAAATGTAAACAAGAAGCCCACTGTTCAGGGTGAGCGCTAGGTGTAAGAAGAAAAGAAGATTATTGCTTTAAGAATCCATTCTTAAATGGTATTGCTGGTATGTTAAGATATGTTTGTGACCTTGTATAAACTCTATGCCCCGTCCTGCGCCCCGAGACCCTCAGAGACCTGCCTGAGGAGATCAGGGTAGCAAAATCTGTTTTTTAGGTCAATGTTGTATTATTTGTTTCATTTATTCTTAATCTATGTATTGTATAGTAATAATGAATAAAAACGTAATGTATTGAACACATTCCGAAACAAAACAGATAAGACAGAACTAGACTCAGACATAATACTAATTATTATTGAAACCTTTTGCGCTGTTGCTGCAAAATGGAAAATGTGTTGATTATCTGTTCCAACTGGCCACTGGAATCAGATAATTAATATAAGTTGAAGTTCAATTACAGTTTTAAAAATAGTTTAACATTCTTCATTAAACTGCTTCAAATTATTTCTCGTATCAACCAATTGGTCTCTATAGACATTACTAAACTTAAAATAGTTGTTAAACTACTGACAAGTTTTCTGAAACCGAGCTTATGAACAACAGAGTAAAGGTCGCTGGTTAAGCCAGGATCAATATATTTGTTGAAGTTTTTTTATTGTGTGCATAATAAAATGTGTTAAATTAATTGAGCAATTCTTTTAAAAGTATAATGTTGCAATTTCTTTAAAATAAGTAATTACAGTTAAAAAATAGATGTTGTTTTCCAAGGGCCTCTCTTTCACAGGCCCACACTTTGAATCATGACACTTCCAAGTCCTACAGAGATCAGTATCACTTTGTGTTGCAAGCCAAATCCAGGGGTTCTACTCGAGCCCAATTTTAAATACCATAAAGAAAAGTATTGAACCCACCTCAAGCTAAATGTCAAATGTATTTAATTAGTGCTTTGATTTATTTAAAATGTTCCAGTCTAGCTTCCTTCGAGTTTAGTCTAAGCAACAAATTGTTTCTCATAACATTTTCACTGCTGTCCCAAATGTTTTAAACCTTGGACAGACAAGCACACACAAGCACACACACACACACACACACACACACACACACACACACACACACACACACACACACACACACACACACACACACACACACACACACACACACACACACACACACACACACACACACACACCCACACACACCCACACACACACACTTTGAATAAGTATGCACCTTATCCAAATTGTAAATTGTTGCCTTCTTTAAAGTTATTAGTAATTCAAGATTAATTATTAAATTAAATGTGGTACATAACATAGAATAAATAAAATAACTTTGACTTGATCATTTTGTTCACAACATTAGACCTTGTCCTCTAATCTCTACTAGAATAAGATAAGTGTGCATGTTTGGGTGTATTAACACTCCTGTAATGTACCTAATCTTGTTATCCTTTTCATTACAGAGCTGGGAAAATGGTGTATTGCTTAGATTCTGATCCGTGCAAGTCCAATTTTGACTGACTTTAGTTATAATGTTAATGTTAATTTGATTTCAACCCATAAGTAATTATTTAGATTAACTCAACATTTCACATGATGGATTAGTGTTCCACATTTTTTTCCACTCATTTGTTGTGCAATTAGGCCAATGGTAAAGAGAGACATTGATGACCTTGTGTCCCTTTTGTTGGTACGTGGTTCCATTTTGTCT